CTCCTCCCTGGCACTGGCTCCTGGGTTGGGGTTTTAAGAGGTGTTGGCAGGTCCTGCCAGCCCTGCTGGTACCCCAGCCCCTGGCAGGGCATGCCCTGGAGGTTCCCACCCTGCTTTTGGGGGGCTGCATGGCACCACCCCCCACAGATCATGGAATCATGGAATGGTTTTCTCTTGGAAGGGACCTTCAAGATCATCCAGTCCCAACGCCCTGCCATGGGCAGGGACACCTCCCACTACACCAGGTTGCTCCAAGCCCCATCCAGCCTGGCTTTCAACACTTTCAGGGATGGGGCAGCCACAGCTGCTCTGGGCAACCTGGGCTCTCCCCAGCCTGTCTTTACTTCCCAAGACAAGTTGTGGCCTTGGCACAGGGGACAAGTGGCTCTGTTGGGGGTGGTCACCCCCAGGGTTTGTCCTGTGTGCTCTGTGATGGCTGTGATGAGCCTGCAGTGGGAAATGGCTGCAATATACATGGGGCACAGGGCACAGGCACTGGGCTGCACACGTGGGGCACAGGGTACACAGATGGGGTGCAAGGTGTGGGTATTGGGGTGCACACACAGGGTGAAGACATTGGGTGCAGGGTATGGGAACTGGGGTGCAGGATGCACAGATGGGAGTAGGGGGGGTAGGGCATGGGTCCTGGGGTGCAGGGTGCAGATATGGGGTGCAGGGTTTAGGTCCTGGGGTGCACACATGGGGGAGGGATGCAGACAGGATCTGGCAGGATCCCACTGGGGGACCACGGGAGGTGCAGGGGCCTTGAAACCTGTCTGAAATAGAGGAGAAGAAGCTCCAGGGGAAGCAGCACCCAGGTGCCACTCCCTGCACCCACTGTGATGGCACCTGGTTAAACTTCAACCCATCCCATCCCTGGACTCTGGATTTGCCCTTTTTGCTCGGTTAATATTAATTGGTATCAAACACCCCATCTGCTGGGAGGCCAGGTCAGTCCCTCAGGGGACCCAAAGCTGCCCCAGTGTCAGGGTGGCACAATGTGGCCAGCTCTGATGTTGTCCAAAAAGAGATTTGCATGTGTGACAAACCAATTCTCACCTGCTCAGGAGAGGTCTTAGTTTTTTTCAGGCCTGGGTGCTCAGCAGCCAGGAGAAAGGGAGTGATATTTGGGTAAGAACAGTGCTCAGAATCCCACCCAACTGCTCCACACAGAAGAGGCGACATCAGCAGTGATGTCATCCTCTTGGTGGTAGTTCAGAACTTCTTGCCAGTTCCTCTGGTGGTCTCTAGTGGGGCTTCTGAGGGGTTTCAGGGGAACATCCCCTTCCCCAGTTATCCTTAGAAAGGTGTTGATTGAACTGAGGCCATGATTGTGTATTTTATTTTCCAGCCAGGTCCATTGGCCCAGAGGGATGCAGATTAAATCTAGATTAAATTAATCCAGAGCAAAATACATTTGGGCTCTCTGGCTTCACTTGAAATGTTGTCTATTATTTTAGCACACGTTACAGTTTAACACGTAACTAACTATAGCTTGTGTCCCAGAGACAGAACTCCACGTATCACCTCCCCCCTTTGAAACTTAGGATGTTGAAGACAAATCTCACACCATCCCTTTAGAAGTATCAGGTCTACAAAGCACCATACACTGAATTAAGCAGCAAGTAATAATACTCAAAATTATTATAAGCAATGCAAATAAAACCAACTGGTTTAACCCATTTAGATTAGGAAATCATGAAAGTAACAGAGAAATCCAAGCTGCCTTGTTCTGTAAATCCTGCAGCCAAATCTTTCCATTGTTGGATTTTCCCCCCTGCTAATTATGTGCTAAATTAAAACAACAGATTCCTTTCAATTCCTCACAGCCGTGGGTGTGTCTAAGGAGCAGGTCATCGACTGCCATTCTGGTTTTAAGAGTGACTTCCCTGATTTGTGTAATTTCAGTTCCAATAGCTGTGAGTGTCCATGAAGTGTAATTTATATCTTTAACTAGGGCACAGGCAACTTTTTTATGGCGTGATAATTCATATCCACCCCAACCCCAGGCACTAATATCTGCTGCTGCTGGCATTTCACTCCAGCCTTGAGAGTGACTTGGGAATCACAGTCCTCAGATATTTGATGTGCACTTCTTTTTCACTCGTTGATCATGCTCTAAATCCTCATTATTCAGCAACAATGGAGCCATTCTATGGAACAGGGTCCTCCCCTTGCATTTGCTGCTGTGCAGGTATGTGACAATCGACCACATCATAAAAACCAGCCCAGAGGCAAATCAATGTGCCTGTGCATCACTTTGACTAATATTACAAGCCAAAGGGTGTTGCAATGGTGTTGATTTCTCTCACTTCGAGGGGCAGTTTCTAAACAACACACAAAGTGTTGCAGGAAATGTTCTCCATACTTTTTACTTCTAACATCCCTCTTTCTTTAATTATTGTCACCTTGCCCATGTCATACATACCACGATAGGGTAACTCAGCATTGAAGCTCCAGAAAACAGTCTAGTTTCAAAGGAGCTGGTATTCCTGTAAGACCAGAACTACACATTCCTCCCACTGATTCACTGCTGTGACACAGAACGTGGATATGTTGGTTACTTCTCAGGCTAAAAGTTCCCAAATATTCCAATTTCTGTCCCATTTTTGGCATTAAAAATTGAGACTTCCTATTACCTAATAGAAGTACTACCAAGCTCTATATGGTATTCAACCTCAGTTTCAACAGCTCAGCAAAGGTTAAATTCTCTATTTAATGGTATTAATGTGATTGTTATCCCTGTGGTTATAATACAAAGCACAAACATTCCTTGTGTACAACCCAAATGCCTCAGTTCCCATCCTAAGCAATTCAGCTTCAGGAGGTGTTTCCTGGAGGTTTTTGGCTTTCCTATTTTTCAGACACTCATTCTTCCATTGTCCTTGCTCCTTACAGTAGTCACACTGATTGACTCCCAGAGGTATCAATGATCCAATTGCATTTCCAGATCCTGCTCCTCTATCCCTCCCTTCCTCTTCCCCTGGGAAATTTCCTTCCTCCAACGGGTGCCTGAACTTCAGCAAAGGTGGCTGCCAAAATTGCAGCTTTTTGCTTTTGCTCTTGTAGCTTTTCCTTCTTCATCACCTTTTCCTCCTCCATCTCTTGATTGTTGTAAACTTTATAGGTGATCTCAATGAACTGAGAAATGGCCATTCCAGTAACTCCATCCACTTCCTGGAATTTCCACCTAACATCTGAGTCCAATTGACCTGCAAACAAGGTGGTGAACCCTGGATTGTTGCCTGTACTCTCTGCAACCAAATGAGTCCACTTTCTGGCCACCTCACATAACCTTTCATAGGAGGCTAAGGGGTCTTCCCACTTCCCCTTAATTACTTGAGTCAAATTGGTAGGATTAATTCCCAATATTCAAATAGCCATCCCTTTGTTAACAGAGCTCTCCCAGATCCTCCCCAAAATTTTTAATACAACCAAGAGGAGAACAAGGAGTCATTCCAGATGCTCCCATTTTTTTGCCCAAAAAGCACATTCTGAGCCACAGCTTCAGCTACTCCAGTTGTTCACTGTGAAACAAAGAGGAGTTTATCTATTTTACCAACACCAACTTTATATCAAACAATATCTTTTTGGTCAAGTGTTGCAGGGGTGTGTTCTTACCCACTCTGGGTGGTGAGAATTCCCACGGAGTTCCCAAAGGGTCAACGGAGTCCAGAGAGCAGAGTCTTCCCACCCACAGCCAGCAAGACCATTTGGGGTTAAAATTGTCCCATCTGTCCCTCCAAAAACACCTGTGCTGTCCAAAAAGCAGATTTGGACATGTGACAAACCAGTTCTCACCCTCTCTGGAGAGGTCTCATGTTTTTGTTCAGGCCTGGGTGCTGAGTGGACCGGC